TGGGGTCGCTTCAATGTTAGCAGTACACAGGCATCGGCGCAAATGCTCTACTACAGGACGCTGATAACTGGTTCCGCTCTTGCTACTTGGGTCGGCGATACAACCGAGGTAAATTCGACGTGGCTCGAGGCCGCCGCGAAACTTAGAGGTGTTATAAATACGCAACTTTGGGATGGGAAGTCTGGCGCATTTTACGACAGCCTTGAGTCTCGCGACAGCAATACTGGCTTACATCCTCAAGATGGCAACGCCTTGGCAGTGCTTTTCGATGTGGTGAACACCACATCAGACCAAGCGCAGGTCATATCGTCCTCTTTGACTAAGAACTGGACCCCAATCGGAGCAGAAAGTCCGGAACTAACTGGCGAAGTGTCGACGTTTATATCTTCGTTTGAAATTCAAGCGCATTTGTTAGCGGGCCAGGCGCAGCGGGCTTTGGATTTGATCCGTACCAGCTGGGGTTGGTACTTAAACAATGAAAATGGCACACAGTCTACCATGGTTGAAGGTTATCTAGTGGATGGAACTTGGGGCTACCGACACGATGCTGGATATGAGGAGGACTACTCATATACTTCCCACTCTCGTAAGTGTTCTTCAAACTCGTAATTCGACCTCCTATCCTTATTCCATACGGTTAAAGGGGGTTTTAGGAAGAGTAACAATTACTGACGGTGAAGTATTCCAGACGGATGGGCTACCGGACCGGTTACAGCGTTGACGGAATATATCCTCGGCCTCAGTGTTACTGGTCTCGCGGGTTCGACTTGGCGAATTGCGCCTCAGTTTGGAGATCTATCACATGCTGAAGGTGGCTTTACGACTAGTTTAGGTAAATACTTCGCAAGCTGGACGGTAAATAGCAACGGCAGCTATACATTAGACTACCATGTGCCTGAGGGTACCTCAGGCGTGCTGGTGCTCCCGACTCCCAATCAGAACGAGAGTTATAAGGTGTTGGTTGATGGAAAAGAAATGTCAAAGAATCTTGGTAAAGCTGTCGAAACAGACGGAAATAGGCAGCTACACATCTCCAAGGGGACAAGTGGACAACATCGCATCGAGGTCAGTTAAGGAGGCCTCTTTGAGATTAGATTGTCGGTCGAGCTAATGCTTGTTTGGAGATGTGCGGTATTGCAGGCAGAAGCGCCTACGAAGCCTTTCTGCAGGACAACCAAGATGCTATGCATGGTAGAGAATTGTGACTCAAGGTAACACTGAGGGAACGAAATATTCCTTTTTTAAGACTCATGATCGGGCCGAGATATTTATTCTATCACGCCGTATCGATTAACGAGGAACATATAAAAGATGCGGGCTCTTCTGGATTTGATTTCATGTTGTTGCTCATGTTCTTATTGTTACATTTGAAAAAGATGTAAGTTGACGACGGGACTGAGAGATTTAGCGCCTGTCCTAATCCCACAGCGGGATATGCACGTAAGAGAACCACTATAATCAGCTGACCGCGACTCTTTCTCGCGTTAAGCACCTAAGGTACATTGCCCCAGCTACCCCAAAACGCGTCGGGCAATTCTAGAAAACAACCCCGTCCCGCCTTTTTCTTTCTGGTCTGATATCAATTCTATTTCTTCCATCCTTGATATAAAACAGACAACTCACCTAGGTAACCACTATTACATAGGTACTGGTGTAAATACTTCGTTCCATTCTTCACTTTTTCTTTTTTCTCCCCATCTCATAATAGTTATAAGATATCGCCATTCATGAGAGGAATGCACTGAACTACTGACACTACCCCCCTCATAAGACTAATCCGCGTTGAGTATCTCATATCTCAATATGGCGGAGCGAGAAGAGTCCGGTGGGCTTTTTAGCCTTTGTGTATTCACTTTTGTCCTCAGTAAGGACTTAGGCGAGGGATTGATTGCCGAGGTACGTCGTGGGTCTCGATAACTTCATTGTAGACGGCTATGCTCACTAGTTACATATTAAAGCTTTCCGAGAGTCTCGTCAAGTTTGGTGGCTCCGTCTTGGAAGCGAAACGCGATGGTTCCTTGCCACTTGCGCAAGTGACCCACGTGATCGCCAACTCGATCGATTTCCCCCAGTATACCGACGCGACGGCTATGATGATCCCCGTCGTCAAGTCTAAGTGGATCACGGCATCCTTAGCGAAGGGGAGGCAAGCTCAGATACGGCCGTTTACGCCTGATCCTCGAATGATCTTCTCCGACGTGGTATTGTCCTGCGCTGATATCCCGCCTACCGATAAAGAAGCTATTATCGGTGCTACGATGGCCATGGGAGGAATGGACTCGGAGAATGTCACCAAGCTTACTACCCATATCTGCGCCCTCTCTATGGACCATCCCAAATGTCAGCTAGCTATGGACAAGAAGCTCAAATGCAAGATTGTTCTTCCTCATTGGTAAGTATCTTTTGCATTTTGGATATAAGGTGTTAGATCTAACCTGATCCAGGTTTGATGACTGTTTCAAGCTGGGAAAGCGAATTGACGAGAGCCCGTATCTTTTACCCGACCCTGAGTACCTACGTGCTAATCCCGAGGATGCGATCCGAGTGCCCCCCAGCCAACACCTTGAGGGTGCTACTTCTGCTCGACCGGACTATCTACCCAGCCCCTCTCCCGACGGTGTAGAAGCTCGTCCTAGCCTTACTGTGTTTGATGGAAAAAAGATCATGTTATCGTCAGATTTGTCGATTAGGAATCGGCTCAGGGACATCATTTTAGGACTTATTAACAATGGTGGGGGTGAGATGACTGATAATGTCAAGGAATGTGACTGGTTCATCTGCCAATATCGCGATGGACCCCAATACATACACGCCGCGCAGGCTGGGAAGACCGTTGGGAATCTGTCATGGCTATATCATTTGATCACCCACAATGAGTGGACATCCCCTCTGCGACGCCTTCTCCACTATCCTGTTCCGCGCGACGGGATCCCTGGTTTCAAGGACATGAAAATTACAGTGTCAAATTACGGAGGAGAAGCTCGCATATACCTGGAGAATTTGATCACTGCTACTGGCGCAACGTATACGAAGACTATGAAGGCTGAAAACACACATCTTATCACTGCTCGGGATAATAGTGAGAAATGCGAGGCTGCCCGAGATTGGAACATCAATATGCTTAACCACCTTTGGATCGAAGAGAGCTACGCGAAGTGCGAGATGCAAAGCATAACAACACCCAAGTACACTCATTTCCCGGCTCGTACGAATCTTGGCGAGGTTATTGGCCAGACATTCCTAGATGAGAAGAAACTACGAGCGCTATACTATCCCGGCGGCCCAGAGCAACTTACGCCAACATCGAAGCGGAAGCGCAAGGTTTTGGACATGGCCAACGAGAACTCGTTCTCCGAAGGCCCGGCTGAAGGTGTTGCGATCGGTCGCCAGGCTCACAAGGAATTTGACGTTATGAAGGATACGGATGCTGAATATGCGGAAAAAACCACAGAAGTATTTGGAGTACCGGCGCCGCAAAAACGCCGAGAATCATCTGAGCTAAAGACTCCGGCTAAGGGCCGTCACGTCCGTGCTGGTAAAGAAAACGAAACACCTTCTACAGTTTCTTCAAGCCGAAGCGCCAAGGATAAGGCATTAAATAGGTTGTCGAGCCTAGCGCCTGATATTGCTCTATACGAAAAGGAAAAGAAACGAGGGCTTAAGGATGGCCACGGCCTCTGGGGTGGCAAACGGGCAGCTGACTTCATCGACCGGGAAAATCTTAACCGCCATAGTCTCTCGAGTCCAAGTACAGGAGGCGAAGAGAAACAGATAAAGTTGGAGAGGCGGCCCGCGAAGAAAGCAAGACCGACGCTCCCGGAGGTTAATATGAGGGTAGTCCTCACCGGATTTCAGCGGTGGGTTAATGAGAAATATAAGGAGGATGCGGACCGAGTAAGTTTAGCGAACGTTCATATCGTATATTTATCTAACATCTTAGTAGAAAAAGTTACGTGACCTCGGCATTGCCGTCGTAACGGATGGCCAACAATGTGACTATCTCGTAGCTCCACATCTAGTGCGGACAGTCAAGTTCCTTCGTAATCTATCTAAGGGCGCTACTATTGTATCCTCGAGCTGGATTGAAGAATGTCTAGATACAAAAGAGCTTCTGGACCCCCGAGATTTTATCCTCAAGGACAAGGAGAACGAGAAGAAATTCGGTATCAAGCTCGAGACCTCGGTCCAGAGAGCGCGAGAGAACAAGGGCAAGCTCCTCTGGGGCATGCCCATATACTGCACAGCTAGCATCAAGAACGGCCCGCAAGGTTACCAAGCTATCGCCGAGGCCAACGGTGCCCTATTCATGGTGTACGGTGCGCGCAGCGGGACGACCATCAAACCCACCGCGCCGGAAGACGACGACGGCGAGCCCGAGCCAGTGTACCTACTGAGCAACACAAGCCCCGAGGAGAAGAAGCTATGGCAGAAGTTTGAGGACATGGCGCGCAGGGGCAATATGGAGCCGCGCATCGTCGCGGCAGATTGGCTGCTCGATGTGGTTATGAACCAGGAGGTTATATTTGATGAGAGGTACCTGGTGACGAACTTCTTCGCATGAAAATGAAAATGAAAATGAGGCTAGGCGTTGGTTCATGGTCGTGGCGGTGAATACCATTTTTGTGTTTTATCTGTTTGTAATGCTTGCGTTATGAGTTCCGCGTTTCCGCCGCATAGCTAGGGGTTCTGGACGGGGTGGCGTTCTGGAGCATGTTGTCGCATCTTTACTGTTCTTCCTTTCCCGCGCTTCGGGGTAGGTAGGTAGGTAAGTATTGCTACCTACCTACCCATCTATCCCATCCGCCGCGTCGTGCCATTTCGAGTAGCAAGCCTCGTACCCATACGAGTGAGCAGATGGGGCTTGCTTGCTTGCTTGAGGTTAGGTCTGGTATATATTATGGAACATATACTTGAGCACAGCAGTTAGTTACATACTACTAGAGCAAGTCATGGTTTAATCTTGGACTTGGACTTGGACTTGGACTTTGGTTGGTGCATGCTTAGAAAAACTTGACGCCTTGCTGGTCCTCTTGTCCGAAGATTTGTGCTTTGCCGCGCTTGACGAGGACTTGTAGCGCTTTCTGGAGGAGGTCGGGGTCGAGGCCGTAGAATTCTGTGATTTATGTTAGTTTAGTATGGGTACTCGTAACTTTTACTGTATTCGTTGTCTTGCTGTTTTCTCGTGTTATACGATAAGGGTAGGTAGGTAGGAAAATGAGAACATAAAAACTCACCAGTCCCCCTCGTCCCCTCCCCATCCGTCAACTCATACAACGTCAACACGGCGCCCTTCTGCGCCGTCTCGTCAACCCACGCCTCGACCAGACCCGCCCACTCCTCCGGCGTCCGCCAGTACACCCAATACACATCACCCGCGCCGCCCCCTCCTCCTCCTCCTCCTCCTCCATTCCCACTCCCACTCCCACTACCATCTTTCCCGACAGCAGCGACGGGCTCCGCGCGACCCTCCTTGCGCATGAACTCGAGGACTTCCCGGGCGTCGGATAAGCGCAGCGAGCGGCCTAGGCGGCGGTTGCGGAAGAGGTCTTCGTAGGGGGTTCCGTCGTAGGCTAGCGAGAGGCGGAAGATGCGGTGCTGGCGGGCGTAGGAGAGGATGAGGGAGGACCACTTCTCGAGTTGGGAGTGGTGCGTTGTTAGGTTTGTTTGGCGGGTGAAGAAGGGCGGGAAGTGGTATTCGCGGGGGAAGTCGAAGGGGGGTGGTGGGGGTGGTGGGGGTGCGGTTGTTGGAGCGGTGGTTGTTGTTGTTGGCGTGGGTGTGGAGGACATGGTGAGATGGATGGATGGATGGATGGGGGAGGGTTGGTAATAAAGGGCGACGACGGGAGTGTAAGGTACGTACGTAGGGATGGATTTGGTTGTGAATTGGTATAGTATGTATAGTATAGTAGTAGTAGTTGTTGTTGTAGCGGGAGTTGATATGGAGCCGAAATTTGGCGGGGCTCCGAGTTGAGCTAAGCTGTTGTATTCCCCCCCTATTATGTACCTAGAGCTTCGAACCCCACTATGGATTCACATGCTCGCATGTGAACGAACAGGTACTATTAAACACCGATTAGGTAAGCTATGTATTCGCTATCTACGTCTGCAATGTAGGACCTTTTGGTTGCCAATATATATACCTTATACTATACACTCCGAGAAGTACGGTGTCAATGTTTATTATTTCTTTATAATAAGCGGCTGCCGTAATACTGAAAACGTATGCAGAGAGGGGGTATAACTAGGATCTTTATAATACTATAACGCTGTTGATATATGGCTGCATGTGACCTATCCGAATAACATTAGTACTATAAGGTATCTCAAGCTTATATATACCAGTAGTTAGAGGCTCCATAAGGCCACTTCAAAACATCAAATCTCTGCGGTTACTCATAGTATATTGAAACCTGCGCTATAATCTATCCACAAGCACGCGGGCATACATACATACATCAGGCATCCCATTCCCGCCCGTATTCAATAACGTCCACAGAATCCTCATTACGGTCGTCATTCGCACCCATCCATCGAACCGAACTCCGTACAGCATAGCATCGTGAAAATTCAAAACGCAAGTTCGTCCGGGCAAAATCAAATATCAACACCGCGGGTATCATCCTGCATCTCGTCGCTGCCGAGCTCCTTCTCGAGCTCGTCCGTCACGAAGCCCTCGTAGTCTTCCAGGTTCTTCTGGATGTGCACCTTGAACTTGATGATGTCGTTGAGCATCCTCTCGATCTCCGTGTGTAGCTCCTCGCGTAGCGCGTTGGCTCGGAGGGTTAGTTGTTCATATCTGATTTTAATGTTAGTATATCTTATTTATTCTGAACAAAAGGGCTCGGAGTTGATGAAAGACGTACTCAATGTTTGTGTTCATCTCCCTCTGCTCCATAAGCTGTACGGATTCAGTAAGCTGAGCTCGCATCTTGGCGAGTTCCTTCTCCATCTTCTCGATCTGCGCATCAGAGGCAAGTTTTTGCGTCGTAGTGACCTAGGGGCTATTAGCAAGCGGTCGTCGAAATACGAACCATAATATCTACATACCTCCTTTGTCTTCTCGTACTCCTCTTCCGCTGCTCTAACTCTGTGTTCTAGAGCCTCGACCTCGTTCCGCTTGTCCTCGATTGCCTCCTTAATGCCGTCAAGCAGATCGTGGTCTTTCATCATGGCATCCATAGCCGCAGTCCGTCGCTCCGAGATATCCTTGCGCAAAGCTAGGAAGTTGTTCTTAACGTGTCCACGTAGTTCCAGGTTGAGGATATGTGCTGGCTGATAACCCGTCACAGGATCGGCAAGTAGGCGTTCGCTTCCCCCTCCACCCGAGTATGATCCCTTCATTATAGAGCCCGTAAAGTCCGACTCGTTGACGGTCACTGCCAGTTCGTATGTAACGCCCTTGGCATTGACGGCCGTCGCAGGAATGAGGCCGATCTGGTAAGCGAGTGTGTTGTACTTGTCAACAAGCCTCTCTAGCTCGTCGAGCTTACGGCTGGCTTCCATTTCCTTCTCCGCTACCTTCCTCTTGCCTTCGTCAAGTCGCTGGGTGGCAGACTCTATACCCTTCTGTAATCTTTCTCGTTCGGAAGTCATGCGATCGATATCCTGCATGCTGATACCTTGGTCGTCAACCTCCTTCTGTAATGCGCGGCGTTCCTCCTCCGCTTCCCTTAGCTCCTCCATCAGTTTGTCGAGTTCTTCTTGCAAAACTTGGATGCGGCTTTCATATTTGTCAGATCTCGATAGAGCTAACGCATTATACTCCTCAAACTTGACTTTGTCCTCTTCCATGATTTTGAAGTGGTTGTCGAGAACGCGGGGATCTGGAGTAGACTTCTCGAGATCCTCAATCTCTTTGAGCAGTCTAGCATTTTCTGCTTCGAGCATCTCGAGTTCCGATAGGTACTTGGAGTTAGACCTCTCGAAAGCCCCCGCCATATCTTCCACGTGGGGTGCAAGTACTTTCTCGGCATCATCGTCACCGGCGTCCTCGTCCATAGCAAGCCAATCCCGGTACGCTGAGCTTAGAAAGTCGAAAACAATATGATCGCTAATAACGTCTATTCCACTCTCTATACAGGCTTCGTCGTAGCGATTAGACGCGTAGCCCTCAAGCATATGCGCTAACTGCATCATCCAATGGAGCAGTCCCAAAAAGGTGCTCCAGTTTTGGCCACCCACTGCAGAGATTTGTGATTTGGTGATGCTCTTCTCATAAGGATAACGCAGCTGCTTTAAAATCGGAGGGACCTCTTGGTCGATATTTTTCTGGAAGCGATAGCTCGGGTCAATACGATGGTATAGCCATTGGAACATGTAGTTAAAGTCCTTCTGGGTCGGCGATTTGATTATATTATGTGATAGAGTATGCTTCATTTCCATTTCGAAGTTGTGCTGCGACAAGTAGTCCAAAAGCTCCTGGCCTATTCGCGCTTGGAATGAGCGGTCCTTCAATGGTCGTGGATCGCGCGGTACACCAGCCGCTTGGGGCGCTTGCTGGAAAAAGCTCTGGTGATTCCCGGGGCCGTTGGTCGAGGTTCGGGAACGATAGACACTGCTCCTCCGTTCGTTCTCCGAATTTCGCATCGGTACGCCACCGGACGCATAACTTTTTATTGTAGAGCCGGGAACGTTCTGGAAGGACGAGCGCTTTACCGAAGACATTCCCATGTCGGCTAGGTTCGTACCGGATGACGATCGGGAGAACATATGCTGGCTGGAGCGCCCGAGCGCAAGGGATTGCCTAGATCCCGATACGGATCGCATATGACTACCTCCAAATCCCCCTCCATGTCCGATTGAATTTGATCTCTTCATTGCTGATGCGGGTTGTGGTATAGCAGAGTTAGGATTGATGCCACCAAGGGTCTAGCGAAAATTACCTAGTCAGCTAATATATTCCCGTCGCGCTAAAGGGGCTACATAGTACAAATTAGTCGCATCCAGTATCATACCTCTCGTGGTCGCCGAACACTCCAGAGTCCCGTCTCCTGGGACATGGTGTTCGCATATAAAAGAGAAATACTTGCGGCCTAATGGTATAACTAGGGAGCTTTCAAAAGTTTGTACATACGTTGTTTAGTCAAGTACAGGTATGTAATTGGATAAACAGAAGTGGTGATTTAAGTGGTTCAATTCTGTATTGTGCAGCTTGGTCAGTGCCCAATACCCCCCAGTCCAAGTAAACAAATCGCAAACTGTTGTGATTGGTCTGATTAAGACCGCATCAACAAACCGAATTAAAGTAATTATGTGGGGCGATGGGACTTTTCTTGGCATTGACTGCCTAGGATTTATTATGTAATCATTACCCACCTAAGATGTACCTAAGCATGCTACATGCTACCTAACGGTGCTTTGTAAACGTTGTTTGTTCATACTTTGCGACGACAACTTCGTTCGCCGGATCACAACTCTACTCATATAACTCTCATACACTATTTGCTCTTTATTTGAGGACATGATGATTTTTCCTTAGGTCGTGATGGTGCGGAGAATTCTAATTCTCGCAGGTGCACCAGAAAGTCATAAGCTGGATTGGAAAGAGTCAGGTCTCTTAAACCAGTTCTTAGATCCCATATCGGAGTTTGCTCGACTTGACACCTACCCAATCTCGGTTCCCGAAAGTACTGCTATAGGACCTTGGCGAGATGTTGCCGTCTGGAGATCAATACCCCTAGAAAAAACTGCATTACCAACTGGCTTCTCTCAGCTTCATCAAGTGAGCCAAGATTTTCGTGGAGACGATGGCTTTTTCACGGTTTTTACGCCCTCGTTCGATTCTACTTCTGACTTACCAGGGACCGATAAAGCAAGCCAGGAGTTATTAGAGCAATTTTACGACCACTCATTAGCAGTCCACGATGATATGCCATCCTCTCAGCTGCCTGTGAGTTTCAGTACTGATGGATCTTCGTTAAACACCACCGAGGACATGAGTTTCTATGACTCGATTCGGAGTAGCAACTCGTCCACCCGCCGGGGGCAACGTCTAATTGCCCAGACAACTCATCTCAGCGATCTCGAAGATGTGCCGAGCGCATCGCATCTGCAATCCATCGTACCCCAGACAATGACTGTCAACCTTATCGTCGGCATAATATCCATTGCTGAACCACGTACCGTGAGAACTAGATGGGGCTCAACGAATTCTTTGATTGAGCTTCTTGTTGGTGATGAGACAAAATCTGGCTTCAGTATTACTTTCTGGCTTTCGTCGGAGCTTAGCGAATCATCTAGCAAGATTCTCAGAGAACTTCGCAGACAGGATATCGTACTACTCCGGAATGTCGCGCTAAGCGTCTTCATGAAAAAGGTGCACGGACACAGCTTGAGAAAGGGCCTGACCAAGGTTGACCTACTCTATAGGAGAAAGCTGGACAAAGATGATCAAGGCGGATTATATGGTATGAGAGACTTGTCATCAACAAAGTCAGCAGCACATCCTCAGTTGCTGAAAACAAGAAGGGTACGAGAGTGGGTTATGAATTTTGTTGGAGATGGGGGCGCGGCCCTGGGAAAAAGAAAGAAAAACGGAAAACCTATCAGAAGTTGGGACATGCCGCCACCAGATACGCAGTAAGCGGACTTGTAATGTCCACTACCGAATCTACCTAGTTTTCTCCAAGTTATATGCACTAGGATTTAAGTCATTCTCATCACAATAGCCAAGGCATAATGAAGGAAGCGTTGTGCATTGTAGCGCTGGTCTAGCCATAGTCTTAAATCTTTTGAATCCTCTCGGCGTGGGAGTTGGTTACACGAGAGCGTAATCCCCTTTAGATTAT